GTCTCCTTTCCTCCAAGCACCAACACAAAAATTGGTCGAGGAACCGGAGCTCTCGGAGAAGTCCGAAGAGGAGAAGGCATTCCAACTGCATCTTCTTAAAGACGAAGGTGGGCTGAACATACTTTCCTCTATTTCCTCAAAATCAATCTCACTGTATTCTCTTGTCCTCTTTTCCAGCGGAGAGGGCTGCGTTGCATTTGCAATTAATTAGGGGCGTGGGACTCAAAATTTTGGCCAAATTCAAGGAAGATGTAATGCAGTTTCGCACTGACGGAAGGCAATGGATCGAGGTGGAATACGCAAGCTTCCAAAAATCGTAATTTAACGATAGCATTCTCTGTGACAGAGAATTCGTTTCAGGATTGTCATTCTCAAAGAATACATTCAAGGGAGGATTGAGTCCGGCGAATCCCTAAATTGTCGTCTTTTACTTCCCGACAATGAGCCTTTCTGTGTATCTCAGGTGTGTTGACGCTTACACATGTTCTCAAAAAATGGCATCTCTAGGAGGTGGTTTTCGCACCAGAAAGATTGTTGAAACTGCATCCATTCGATCAAGTCCTTGACGAAACCCCTCGGCCAGAAAACGACTACTTTGACAATCTGTTGAAACTTGTAGATTTGGTGAGTCCTCATTTTGCGGGCGTCTGTTGAACCTGCAGTCCTCATCACCATTGAGATCGTCAAATTGGAACAGCATATAAAACAAAGTGAAGTGCAATTCGTTTTAAAGGACTTCTTCTGAGCATAGTGAACCTCCTAAACCTATAAATTTGCGTTTTGTAATCGGACGTCCTTTTTAAGGCAGAAGTGGACAGTCACATTTCATCGAGCACGAGGAAGATTTTCCCAACCCATTGCAACAACCATAACTGCATTTTTGTTAAGATCCTGCTTGTCCGTTTGTCTTTGAACACTTTGTTTGCTGTCTTTAATGGTTGGAATTGCTGTAACCTCACTTGAGCCTACAAGCTGATTCACGTGAATAAGATGGAGGTGGAAGTGTTCATTGCTAACGATTATTCTCACTTCTAGTGAGAAGTGTTTCACTTATCAAAGCGCTCATTACTGCACTGTCCACGGCCTCAATAAGACACCGAATTCCTTCCGTGTTCGTGCTAGGAACGTGACACTGACCAGTTTTGCTTCCGTCCCAATCCCATCTCTCATCCTCAAACAAGGAAGAGAAGTGACGATTCTAACCAAAATAATTACTATTGTAAGGACAAAAGCGTCTCCCTGTTTCTCTTCATCACGTGTATACACGCAAATAGAAGAAGAAGGAGAAGAGATGGTAGAAAATGTTTGTTTACTTAGCGGAAGTTGACGTACGAGGCCGTTTTGTGTCTTGGGTCCGATGCCTTTCTTGAGAATGGCAGTGCAGTTTTTGGGGCCACG